CGTCGAGGTCTACGCGATCAAAAGTGGAGCATTGGTCGCATTCCTCCTTAAGACACTCCCATTCACTGGGTCTACATCCTTGAATTGTCAGAGAACGTGAACCCTGCTCATCTCTTGCCTCAGCGTGATACAATAGGAACTGTCCGATTTGCTTCCTCCACTCTTCCTGCTCCTGTTCGTGTCGCTGCACCGCGGCGTTGTAGGCCGCTTTTACCTCCTTCTGATGATCCTCGTCACGCTCATCGGAGGAGGACGACGACGAGGAGGACGGCGCCGCGCCGTTGGCCGCGGCGCCGGCCGCGGGAACGAAGAACTCGTCGTCGTCGTCGCTGTCGCTGCTCTGGTCGTCGAGGGCGTCCTGGTGGCGGCGCCAGCGCTCCCACCCCTTGAACGCCTAGCGCACGTGCCAGCGGTGGCGCTTCCGGCGGAACGAGACCATGGATGATGCGGTGTACGAGCGGTGGCTCAAAGGTGGCGCGTCGAGAGGTGGGCATAAATATCAGGGTGGGCCCCACGGGCGAACAATTATATCAAGACGGACCCCGCGCCGAGGATTTTATATCAAGACGGACCCCGCCGGCCGGCACAGCCCACATTTAGTTCGATTTATTTAGTTTTAGTAAGAATTTCAAGACGGACCCCACCGGCGCACGATCACGCCAGGACGGACCACGTCGCGCTGATGCGCTGGCGATAGTTTCGGCCCGGCGACAGTAGGGCATGCCGACCGACCTAGAATTACCCCGGGCGTCGCTAGAAATAACAGGCATCTTACAGGGCCGGAGGGGCCTCGGTGTCGCCGCGCCTGAGCTCGCCTTGCGGGAAACCGAGTTGCTTAAACGATGAGTGCCAAACAGTTCGCCTCTTGCTTTAAGGCTATGCCACAGAAGGAAGCATTTGAAGCCCTCTTTGCTTTGATAGACCGCATCAAAGACACCGAACTGAAATTCGCCCTATCAAAGATTAAACCGGTTGCCATCAAACTCGCGTGAACCGGTTCAATATGGATGATGAAGATGAATTCAATCAGTATCAAACTCGAAGCAATGAACTGATGATGCTGAAATGTTTGCTGTTGAAAGTCCCTTAAATGGTTCTGATGACGATGATGATGATGATGGTGATGAGGGTTAGACTGGGGTTCGGACATTGAGATCGGGGGTTAGGATTGGGGTTATATAGGATTAGGGTTATGCCAAGCGGATTTTAGTCCCTTTTGAGGGTTAGGATTACACTCCCCGTGCGGTTTCCCGAGGTATATATTCCCCGTATTCCTATTCTCTCTATGACAACGGGGTGGTGTCTAAAAGGGAATACGGGGAATATATACCTCGGAAACGGAAGATGCCTCGGAGCTGAGACTGGGCGGAATTGGCCCAGGCGAGTCGACACCACGGCATAGTCGACCTCGATGTCTCCAAAGAAAGATTCCGAAGACGAGCCAGGCTTCCTCCGATTGAACAGATAAACGGATGATAGCGGGTACGGACCGAAGGGAAGTCGCCAAAAATGACCATTCACTAGCAAATCGACCATTTGTGTCTCCCAGTTGAACACAGCCTCGAAAGAGTACCATTTCATCGGCTTCGCGTAGCGTTCAAGGACGTACTGGGTTCCCGAGCAGTCGTCGTAATATACGAGCCGCCTGTCTTGGTTGGCCAGCATTCCGGTCGGTACTCCATTTGGTGCCGCTGGGGAATCAAATGCAATTCTGCACAGGAAGGGTGGGCGCCCATCAGCCTGTTGGTTGTAAGTTTCCGGGTTTCGCCACGAGGACAGCGCAAACGAGGGGCCTCCGGTCTTCGACCTGTAGCAGACGTGCACCTTGAGCCTCTGCACACGATTTCGCGATCCACTGGCCCGCCACACTAGCCCACCCAGGTGATCAAGGCCCAGATATGGGAATCTGCTCAGCGCGATGCCGAAACCGGGCCGCCAAATCGCCGCGCGGAATGACGGGTCGGGGTTCGGCTTCCCTCCTGGTCTGTCTCCCAGTGACGCAACACGTTCCCAGTTGTCTAGGCTCCCCCATGACTCGCGGAAATGGACCATGTCGTGGCCGCAGTTGGACAGGGCGTCCATGATGCAGATCTTGAATTTAGGTGTGGCCTGGGCAAGCGTCACCAACACTCGCACGTGATCCGCAGCGAAGGACCGCGCCAGCGCCGGCAGCGAGGCGATGCTCGATAGATCCAAGAAGCGAATCACGGCGGCGGCTTGATCGCGGTGGCGCCAGAAAGCCGGGAGGCCGTGCGACATCGTGCGATGAAGCTTGTCCATGTCATCAGATCAGTTTGAATGTCATGATCGACGGCCCGCGGGGTCCATATTGATATTCTTTGCATTTGCGGGGTCCGAACTGATATTCTTTGCATTCGCGGGGTCCGAACTGATATTCTTCGAGGCGGGGTCCATCCTGAAATTATCCTTTGAATGTGGGGTCGGTCTTGATATTAATTCGAGGGGGTCCTTCTTGATATTAAAGCACCTCGGGGCGGGCTTCTGGATCATAGCCCCAGCGCGTATGGTGCTCGCCTCACCCCCTTGACCCAGCGCGCGAGGGTCGCCCGTCGGGCCACGCCGTAGCCGCCGGTACTCGAAGAGGAGAGCGCTCTTCGTGGGGGGGAGGGGCGCGGCGCGCCTCGGTGCTTTCTCCCCCCTTTCTCTCCCCGGAGAGAAGTGCCAGTCGCGCAAGGGTCGCGTGTCGGGCCACGCTGCAGGCGCCGGTACGCAAAGTAGAGGAGGCTTATCATGGGGGGGAAGGGGTGCGTTTTCTCTTCTTGTCGGAGGCTTTTGGCGCTAGTCTTCGGAGCCTCGCTGCGGTCGTACCACCCCAGCTGAGCATGCTCGCGACTTTTGGGCGCTTGTGCTTACTGTGGAGCGATTGTGTACCCTCAATCGCATCTGCAAGAGCTTCGCTTACGAAGCTTTGATATGTTTCCAAGTCTGGCTCATATCGCTGTCGGAATTTGTCATCCACGCGGCTAAAAAGCGACGGCAGCTGGTCCAGGTAGTCGGCCCATATTCTCCAGTCCTCTTGAGTGGCTGGCGGATGCTGGAAGTCAGGTTCTTGGCAAGGTTTGTTCTCCGGTTTTTCTTCCTCGTCGTCGTCCTCCTCGTCGTCGTCCTCCTCGTCGTCGTCGTCGTCCTCCTCCCCCTCCTCCTCCTCCCCCTCATCTTCCTCCCCCTCCTTTTCCTCCTCCTCCTCTTCTTTCTCATCCTCTTGCTCGCTTTCCTGGTCCTCCTCCATTGATGGTGCTGGTGCCGGTTCTGGTGCTATTGCTGGTGTTGGCTCTGCAGGTGCTGGTGCTGTTGCTGGTACTGGCTCTGCTAAGATCTTTTCCCACTCTTGTGGCCCGTGCGCCAACTGCAACAGATGCCGACACCGGGCCCATACGCCGCCATCGTTCTTGCCCTGTGCATGAACAAAAAGA